ACCGGTTCGGCCGAACCGGTCTGAACCAGTAGCAACCCACCTCTGGTTGATCCCCTCTTCTTTGTGGCAACCCCTTAGATATTGGAACCATGCTATCATGTTACCCCTATTCCTTTTTTTCATTAAACCAGACATACCTAATTCCAGCAACCATAGTGCATCTGTTTTAGCCTCCAGTTCCCCCAATCATCTTTGTTACTCTTCTCTGCACTCTTTCTAGAGTGTCAATGTCTTTTTTACATTGTGGCTATCAAAACTGGATGCAGAATTCCAAATGTGTTCTTACCAAGGCATTATAAAGTGGTATTAACACTTCACGTGTTAATAACAGCCGATTCCAGTTAACACTGGATTCAACAGATCAATGGTTTGACTCAGTAACTTCATCTGTTCTGATTAGCTAATTTCTTCATGAATACATACAAATATCTACAGCTGTACTACGCAACAACTTTCTCTAAACTGGATACCATTTGGATGAGTCAGAATTGCAACTCACAGAATTCCCTGTAGACTGAGGAAAGCTAGTGCTCAAACAAGCTTATCACACACCCCAGAACCAGATAGAAGGAGTGTCCTCTCCCACAATTCAAATGAACAAGCCTTCATTGCCGATAGGAAAACTTGTAGCTGTATCAAGGACTAGCTGTATGAGAAACAGCTATAAATTTTCCTATTCTTGGGAAATTAAGGATTTATGACTACAATTTAGCTCAAAATTTTCTTTGCTATGCAAGACAGTTGTTAAGTGAGTTTTATCCCATTTTATTATCGTTATTTATTTATTTATTTATTAAATCGATTTATAGGCCGCCCAATCCCGGAGGACTCCGGGCGGTTTACATCGAAGAAAGAAGAATAATTAAAAAATGACAATAAAAAACATGTTTAAAACAGCCCACATACATTCGTTACAATCGGGGCTGGACCTCAACAATGAGGTCAACAGCCCTAGGCCTGCCGGAATAGCCAGCTTTTCACAGCTTTTCTGAAGGCCATGAGAGTGGGCAAGGTCCGGATTTCTGGGGGTAGCTCTCCTCCGGGGAGCCACCAGCCAGCATTGTCTGGCTGATGGCATCTGAAGGAGGCCCACCCTGTGGGGTCTCACCGGCCGTTGGGAGGAATGTGGCAGTAGGCGGTCTCAGAGGTATGCTGGCCCTAAGCCATGTAGGGCTTTAAAGGTAATAACCAACACCTTGAATTGTGACCGGAGACCAATAGGTAGCCAGTTCTTGCCACAGTTGTTAAGTGAATCACTGTAGTTAACAACATGATTGTTAAATGAATGTCTTCTCCATTGACTTTGCTTGTCAGAAAATTGCAATTACATGACTCTGAGACATGGCAACCTTCATAAATACATGCCAACCATCCAAATTTTGCTCATGTGACTATGCAGAGTGCAACGGTTGTAAGAGTGAAAAGCGGTCATAGCTCACTTTTTTTCAATGCTATTGTAACTTCAAATGGTTACTAAACAAATAGTTGTAAGATGAGGATTACCTGTATTGCAACATACTAAGTCTCCTAAGAGCCCTGATGGAAATTGTAATCCAAAAGAACTTTAGGAAGGACTCAAGATTATCTATCCCTGCACTGAACAGAATGATGAAAGGAACTCCATGGAAAGCCTAGTATAAAACCAAAATAAACACAATACATTATGTGACCTATGGAGTCTATGGATATTGTCTGTCATTCAGCTCATGATTGTCTCACAGGTGCTTTTTCAAGAGGCAACTAGACTTTCTTGTTTTTTATTTGAGAACATTTCACTTCTCATCCAAGAAGCTTCTTCAACTCTGACTGGATGGTGGGAAATGGAAGGATTTATATGCCTTGTAGACGGCTGGTCATTTGTATTGTTTTAGAGAGTTGTTGAGGCCACTTGGAGGTTCGTGCCTGTGACCCTGAGGACACAGACAAACCTCCAAGCGGCCTCAATGACTCTATAGAAGAATACAAATAACCAGCTGTCTGCAATGAATATGATTGGAATTCACTTTCAAACTTTATGACCACTGAGAAAACAAAAACAGGATACTTTTCCATTACCACTGCCGAACAATTTTGCACAGATGGTATTTTTTCCCCCAGATGGCCAACAGCAGTTTTCCCCACTTCCAGATCTGTTGTTTTCAATTCCTAGAATTCCTAGAAATGGCAAATTCAGAGTTAAAGTCCATATATCTGAAAGTTGGGGATCACTAGATGAGAGATTTTGACTCAGAATATGGCAATTCAACTTTAGATTTATTGTATACCATTTTTCAGAGTTGAAATCCCTTGTCCCAGTTTCAATATCATGATTTGTAAAGTCCAGCCATCTTGTTTACATATGATTTACAATCTATACAGCAGCAGAATGTCAATCTACTTGGCAGGCTGAGACCTGTCATGTATTTGCTCAATTCTTGTCATTCCCAATTTATAAAAAGTTTTCAAGATACTGATTAGGATAAAGACACATCTGCAAAATGTTGTAATGCCGCCATTTCTAAAAAAGATGATGCTGGAACTAACAGCATTATATAATTTCCAGCTGGTCCTGACTAGTCCACGCTTTAGCCAAGATGCTCATGAAAAAACTGCCCTAGGAATTCTGGCTGAAGCAGTTTGTCTAAGTCTTTTTCAATTTCAATTCAAGCTTGGTCAGAGGTCAGAGGCACATTTGGTTGACTCAGTACAGTTTTCCATTATGATTTAAGTGTGACAAGGCATTGCAGGCAGTCAGCCATGTTACTTTTTGATAGCCAAAATTAGTTCTGGTAACAGCTTTTCAGACTAACAACCTTTATTAAAAGGCATAAGCTTCCACGAGCTACAATGTTGCTTTTCCAGATGCATTGTTCATATGAATAGAAGGCATGCAGATTTAAGATTGGGAAATCATCAGAAGCTGGGACACGATGATGCATTTCTTTAAGTTGTTTCTTCTTTGGGAGTGGTTGCAGAAGATAATATTAAGAATATTTTGATTGCTAAACTATATTAGGGACCATGAAAAATTTCAAACTCTTCTTCAAGAAATCTCATGACTAGTTAAGGAATCCTCCACCTTAAATTTGATGCCAGTGACCCTGCCAAAAGCTTATGTGTGTTGATGTCAGATTTATTTTGCCATCTGGAAGAGGAAATTCTCACAAATGAAGCCATTCCCAAAAGCAGCAGTTTCGAATTACAAATATATTTTTACCTGGAAATGATGGCATCTCAACTAGCTTTATTAAAGACACCATGAAGTTAATTTTGCCTTAAGGTGATTCACTACACATATAATATTTAATTCTCAAAAAAGCTGTTTAATATTTCAGTGTGAGAATAATCTCATATTACTTGAGGCTGCAATTCCACTTGTCCCTCTCTTGAATTATCCCACATTGAATTCAGTGGTGGAATTCAAATTTTTTTTCCTACCAGTTCTATGGGCATGGCTTCTGGGTGGGTGTGTCATGTGACTGTGTGGGCCTGGCCAACTCAACATCACTCTTGGCCATGGCCACTCAGTCACATGACACCCCCACCAAGCCACACCCACAGAACCCAGTAGGAAAAAAACATAATTTCTACCTATCTACCTATTTTCTGTCCCGGTCTGGCCTAATCTGACAAAGGCCTCCTCCTGCATGCCACCTACTCTCCCTTCATCAGTCCTGTTTCTGCTCCTTCAGAGGTCCTGTCCCTAGCCCCACTTCCATCCCCATGATTGCCTCTTTCTTTGGGCCTACCTTTGTCCCAAGTGGCTGGTCTGGACTCTGGAAGGCAAGCTCTCTTTTTTGGTGTTGCTGCAAGAAACCTCCCAACCGCCACCTCTTTGCCAGTCATTTCCTGGCAGCAGCAGCTGACTGAAGGCTGCCAAAAATTACCAGAGATCTCAAATGTTCCGAAAAAGCTGCTGCCGTCGCCAACCTGTTCTTCGCACCGGCCACGTATGCACATCCCATTCCCAAGTCCATTCAGACTTGCCTGGGCAAGTCCCTCCTGAGCAGCAATGGGATGTGCAAGCACGGCCGGCACAAAGAACAGGGCAGCAACAGCAACGGCTTTACAATAGAATTAGAATTCTATTCATATATAGAACCCATATATAGAATTATGAGTGTTGTAGTGTCTACTTGTTGCTCTGTTTTAGTTTTAAATTACCCTGCAAGGGAACACAGTTCTGGAAAGTAGTACAAAGAACATGAAATGTGACAATAATATCCCTAAAGTATTGAGTTTATCCTTTTATGAAAGGCTTTCAAGTCTTCATGCTAAGGAATGGATTCCATATTTGTTATCTATTTTTGAAATGTCTTTGTATTGTAAAAATAAGATGAAGCAGTATGTTACTATTTAATCTAGATTACATGTTAAATTTAAGGATTAATTTAATTCATATTGATGCTTCTTCTGTTATATTTGTTTTGTTTTTGGTGCCTTTAAGACAGCCACTAGTCTTTGTGGCAAGATTTTTGGAAGTGGTTTGCTGTTGCTTCCTTCCTAGGGCTGAGACAGTGATTGGCTCAAGGCAGTGTCTAAACTCATGGTTTCCAGTTCATAGGCTTTTGCCTTAACCAAGTTGCCAAACTGTTGTTTGGTTTAATTCCTATAATGTATAGTGCTTTTTATATTGTGTAATCAGTAGTGTGTTCTGTAGTGGCTGGTTTTTTTAAAATTTCAACAATCAACATTTTGATTTCTTCTTATTGTTGAAATGTACTTGAATTATAAGTTCAAGTGCATTTCAACAGTAAGAAGAAATGTCTATAGAGATTCTCAGTCATCCAGGTCATGGTTGTCCCAAAGGAGCTTTTTCAAGAAGCAACTGGACTTTCTGGTTTTTCTTTGAAGGCATTTCGCTTCTCATCCAAGAAGCTTCTTCAGCTCTGACTGGATAGTGAAATGAAATCCTTCCCCACCATCCAGTCAGAGCTGAAGAAGCTTCTTGGATGAGAAGCGAAATGCCTTCAAAGGAAAACCAGAAAGTCCAGTTGCCTCTTGAAAAAGCAGCTTTGGGATAGTAAAAAGAAATCAAATTGTTTATTGTGCCAAGGGGCTTCCCATCCCTGTTTTTGGTTATCTTCCTCCCATGATGTCACACAGAAGAGTTTCACAAGATAGTTTACAATACTTAGGGGCAAACCGTTGTCAGTTCAGTTCAAACAATTTTGAGCTCAAAGCGGATTTACTAGGACGCATCCGATCTGTCTCCTAAAATAAGACGCGAGGCTGCAGATCCGACGGCGGCGTTATCGTCATGATTTTTTCTTCCTTACCCAGGATTTACCAATTCATCCTGGCTGAGATTCTCATGTAAATTGGGTTCGTATTGGGAAACATCCTTCGCATCGCCCTGCAATCCGAAGGCCGAAAAACCAAGCGAGTCGCCTGAATCTTTCCAGCCACCCGGAAGAAAAACGGAGCCGCCGGCCGCCGAGATTGAAGAGGTGAAGCCAATGCAACCCGGTCCGAAGATACAGGTCGCTTTTCCGAGCAAGCACAAAGACACGGACCCGCAACCGCCTCCCTCGGCCTTCGCCAGAATCACCAACCGCTGGACGGAGAGTTGAAACCCGCCGAAGTGAAGGCTGGCTGGGAGACCTCGAAAGGTTCCTTTGATCGTAGTCGCGACTTGAGAAAAGGCCGCCCCTTGGGCGTAAAGCGAGTAAAGCGGCACGTCCTTTCACACGATCCTCTTGTCTATTGACTCGTGCGGAAAGCGAAAGATTGGGGGGGAGGAGCGAAATTCACGGGAGGCGGATTTCCAACAGGGCGAGTCAGATGCTCCTTGGAGCATTAACCCGGGCGAGCTTTTGTTGTTGTTGTTGTTGTTGTTGTTGAAAAGGCGGAGCAAAGGATCGACCCACCCACCCCAAAAAAATGTCATGTCTATTCAAGAGAGACCGGTAAAAAGGCGCCAAGGCAACACAGCAACACTCGTGGAGACACACAAACACACCGCCAGTCCTCCCGGTACCCACGGAGTGGTGAACAAAGTACCGGAACCAAAAAGGTCTGGCCCACGGAGCTCGACGAGCTCGTTTGAATGCAACACCGGGGTCTTTGTACCGGGAGGCGGGACTGAGAGCGCTGCAGTCGCGGGAATGAAGGCGCTGGCGGTATAGACCCCAACATGGAGTGCGTGATTCTGGATGCGCTCGAGGCTTTGGGGTGAGATGGAGGAGGGTCGCCAACGGGGGTGGGGTACTCGCTGGAGCGCCAATGGTAGGCCGATGGTACATTCAATTCGGCGGCTAGATAAAGGAGCTCCCTCGGCGGTGCAGAAAGGAAAAGGCTCGATCGGGCTGGTTGAAATGTCCTCGCCGCCTCCGTCCAGATCTTCCACTCATCGCCTCGGTTCTTCCACCGGGGAATCGAAGTGCCTCGCCGTGATTCGTTTTAAAAGCCGCGGGGATCCCTTTGCACTCACATCTGCGCGGACGGGTGGGAGGGAGAGATTGTTCCCGCAGTTTCGTTGGGAGGCGTTTTGTTGTGCGCGTGCCCAAGTAGATGCAAGCATCTCTCCCCGCCTCTGCGAATCAAAGACTGGTGGAGAAATGTTTTCAAAATTTTTTGTCGTGATGCAGGTTCTTCTTTTATGTTCTGTGTTCAGTCCGTCCTCTTTATTGATGCCCAGAGCTTTAATTTTTCTGTAGTTGCTGCTGCAGGTTTGATTGATTGCTAATGTGTGTATATGGCCTCGGAACATGCCAATATTCGAATTCAATATTTGCATTTTGCAAATATTTAAATAGCTGAAGTCTAGAGAGAAGCGGACATTTTAAAAGAATTAACACCTGTGTACTAGAGTCTATTTTTAAAAGTAGTAGGTATTTTTTGATTGATTAATGGTCAGTTGACAGTCTGATCCTAAGGATGGATACATGGAAATATGGCAGGTTAGTTTCAGTTCAATAACTCCCAAACAATGTGCATTGTGATACAACATAAGAGATCCAGTTTGGAGTAGTGGTTAGGCACTAGGCTAGAAACTGAGAGACTGCAAGTCCATTCCTGTTTTAGGCATAAAGCCAGATGGGACAGTCACATACTGTCAACCCTAGAAAGCAGGCAGTGACAAACCAATTTCAAGAATCTTGCCAAGAAAACTGCAGGGACTAATCCAGCTAGTCAATAGAGGTCAATATTTGAGTGAGCATACAGATAAATAAAAATGAATAAATATACCACAACCATATTTTAAACTTTGCTGATTCTGAAAAAGTTAAGTGGGATTGGATCTTATTAGTACTTGGATGGGAAATTCCAGTCTGTAAATATATATATATCCCAGCAGTTGGTCTATATGAACAGCCACTTGTCTGAACCTTGGCCTCCAAGGTCCTTTCCAGTTCTATTCTGATTGATTGATTGATTAATTCATTGTCTTCAGGATTTAAGTCGAGATACTTCATTTTTCGCAAGCATGAGGATGTGAAACCATATCTTCAGGTTTCTTGTATTTATATCATTCTCTTATGAGAAGACAAAATCAACTTGCTATTGATCCCAAGAAGAAAATTTGAATATGTGTGTGTGTGTGTGTGTGTGTGTGTTTGATGTATATTTGAATTTTGTATTCTCTAGATACAAAGGCACTCTTCTGGATGAAGATGCTCTTAATAAAGCAGCGGAATGTGGGCTGGCTTCTCAAGATTTCTGTGAGCTTTGTGTTTGGC